GATGTTTCATTACCCAACTAGGTAACATCATCAGTGCTAGTGAGTGTGGGGTTTGCTCCCGTTTTATATACAGTAGCTTATATTCCTTGTGTCATATATTTTTGCTGTCACACATATTAGATTGTGGGGGAGGGTTTGCACAAAGTATTAAAAAGAGATCTACCATATGTACTATCTAGGAAGTAGAATGTTAGTATTTTTAGCTGTGTGTAAACAATGTAGATGGGAATTCTTTAAATTAGATTTTATTAAATTGTTTTAACTTTTATGCAGATGTAATATTTTTGCTGATAACAATTCCATTAATTATATTAACATATAAAGCAGTTTTGATAAAGCTGAGATAACAGCACATATCTTTAATATGTTCTTATATATCAAGCTGCAGTTCTACATTATTGTCTACATAACAGCCCAATCCTGTGAAATCCAAAACATGTAAATGTATTGAGATCAAGTATGCCTAACTCTGTATTAGGTCAGACAAAAATTTAAAACAAACTTTTAAAAAATGCCACCCAAAAGTCTTGTTACTCATAAATATGAACCACAGGTTCATACCCCATCTACTGGTAAAATAATTTCAGTAATATATTTAAACAATTCCTGTTGTTCCAGTTATTTGTACCAGCAGACTGTTATAACTTCTTATATTGCACTTATAACACCAACTAGTCTTTCAGGAAAGGAATTGTATTATGGTTGTTCCTTTAGTGCTTGGAATGTTATTTATTTCATACTGTACATTATATTTTATTACTTTTGCTTTATTTCTAGGTGTATATTGTTATGTTTAACCTTAATACTGGTTTGGAGACCTGTAAGTCATTCAGTCATGTATGATTGGAGCAGCATAGAAACCTAGTAGTAAATAAATAAAATAAAGTATGTATCTAGTGAGGCTGCACTGTTAAAACAACTGCTGAATTTCTCCATAAGCAATGATTATGTTTACCAGAAGTAAATCCTCCTAACAAGGATGCTATCTCGGTATATATGCATATGATTGAATTAGCTACAGTCTGACAGCTCAATAACATTTACTTCTAAATATAGATGGATGGTATTATGCTGTTATTGTGGTAAGGATGCACCTTTGGTTGTGTGTATTCCCATCTCCTTCATGTGTGAGGAGAGGAAATCTTAAACTTTCAATTTTGATTTAAAACAAGCCTGTTTTCCTTTCCTTCTTTGCAGCTAATAAATTAGCAGTCTATTTTTTGTTTGTTTGTTTGTTTAGAATCACTGAATTGGGTCATTTAGACCAGTGTTTCTCAATCTCAGGAATTTTAAGATGTATGGACTTCAGCTCCCAGAATTGTCCAGGTAGTTGGCTGGCTATGGAAGTCTGGGAGTTGAAGTCCACACATCTTAAAGTTGCAAAGGTTGAGAAACACTGATGTAGATCAAAGAGTCCATGAAGTGCTAAAATCCCAATTAACACATCCCTCTCATACATCTGGCTGTTTAGTACCCACTTGAAAATATTTAAGGAAGGGAGAGTTTCTACCTTGCAATTAAAATATACCTCCCTGTACCTTAAATCATCATCCATGAAGTCTGGAATGATAGATTTTGACTTAAGAGATGTATTTGAAGAGTCCTATCTTCTCAAATTCAGTATGTCCAGGTCCTTTAATCTCTCTTCCTAAAGCTTAGTTTTTAGTACCTCGGCTATCATTATAAGCCGTCTCAGAACATATTCAGTTTCTTAGAGGTAGAGTTTGATAATACAGTACCTGAGGTGGTGTTATCTATTCAGAGAAACTGTTACTTCCCATGATTTGGAAACTGTACTACCTTTGATGAAGCCCAAACTTACATTCACCTTTTTTGCAGGCACATCACACTGCTGAACATTTTCTGCTTGAAATTGTTATTCCAAAATTTACAGTTGATTAACTTGTGACCTTATATTCAAGACTTATATTCAAGAAGGAACAACTGCATATGAAGATTATGGGAAAATATGATTCTATATGAACGTTCATTCTTGAGAGCCCGTGTAGTGCACTGGTTAAAGTGCTGGTCTGGCACCAGGAAGATCCAGGCTGTAGTCCACTCTCAGCTATGTAAACTCACTGACTTTGGACCAACCACCCTCTTGCAGCCCAACTCACTTCACAGAATTATTGATCAAGGGGGGAAAAAAGGAGACTGCAGTTGAGTTGCTGTATGAAAAGTGGGATGTAAATTAACAATCTGTAGTGACAATCATTGAAAAAACAAGAATATGTCTTTTATATGTAAAAAGCCATAGATATAGAGGATCAGATTGAAGTCCACAATGCTCCTAGAGGGAAAATATCCTGCTGAACTGATGTTTCTGACAAACAGGAATTTTAGGAATACTGGATCTTACACAAGATTGTATGTTCAGGAGAAAGCAGAACAAAAAAAGACACATCTCATCCTTCACTTAAAAAAACTTTGAGGCATAAAAACCATCCTCAAATTTTTAGAATAGGAATGATTATCCACTTCAGTTATTTCACTTTCACATACTTGTTCCTGATGAATCACTAACCCTAATTTAATCTGGGCAGAATTGAAAGGATGGAGGGAAATTATGTTTAGCAGATTTATTTTCAAAAACTTACTTTCTAGTCCTTTCCCCCTTAATTGTTTACATATCCACTAAACGTTATGGAAGATTTTCGGGGTAACTATTAACTACACCCAAACTGATTACACGCCATCAAGTCTTAGCGACCACACAGAATTTCTCCATGACATCCAAATCCATCGTAAAACTAATTTTCAGTTTTATCAGAGCCCCAGACATCTAGAAAGCAAGATAGAATGTACAGTCCCGATGGGTTGAAAGCAGAGTATAATTTATATTTAAATATTAAAAACAGGAACGTTTTATTCACTTGATCAACTAAGTTTATATCCGTCAGAAACAAGTGAACAAAAAACAAGCAACTGTATCTGTGCAAAAAGCACAAGCTGCGATCCTTCCTCAGAATCACAGCACAAATGTCAGCACATCGTAAGCGACAGCATTTGAAGCCAGTTGTTGAACAGACAGGAGCCCCGCAGCCCCTGCCTCCCCATCCTTAGAGCATATCAATCTTAACGCATCAAGCATGCCTTACATCCTAAAATAGGACCGGGACAGATGCCCTTGACTCCGCCCGCGCCTGGCAACGTCACAAAAGCGCTGCCTCATCACCACCCGGAAACGCGATGCCCCGGATCTGGACGTTGCTTTGGCCGCTCTTTCCCTCACAAGCTGTAGGTTTCGAATGCTCTGGAGGCTTTTTGTCGCATTGGTCCCTGTACTTTCTGTTCTCGGTGCGCAAGTGCGTGGTGCGGAAAGGTTCTTCCGGACAGTCAGGCACGCTGGGAGGAAGATAAGACGGAGTTGCTTTTGTAATCCGGATCAAGCTAAGTCCTGGTAGCTGCCGCGCAGGGGGATTTAGGAAGCTCCGCTGGCGCTCAGCTGCTTCCCTGGAGGTTTGGGCTCCGGGCCGCTCATTCCATCGGTATCTTTAGGTAGGCTGTGAAAATCTTGGCTGTGAAATCCCGCAGAGCGACTGCTAGACCCTCGGGAGCAGATTTTAGGCTTGGCGGAACTAACTGGGAAAGCAACAGGTCGATACACTTAAAAGGCCCGGTAGCTACTGACCACGTGTTAGTCTTTCCCTACCTGGGGGAGTCACCAGATGTGTTGGGACTTCCAGAATCCCCAGCCAGAATTCCGATACTGACTGGAAGTTTGGGGAGTCGTCATCGAGCACATCTGGAGAGCACCAGGTTTCAGGAAGGCACGTCCCTTCTCACCTCCAAAGCGTGTTGCCGGTGCCAGAACTGAGTTCACAACCCTCTCTTTCACGAAGATTTGCACCTATAAGCTTTATTTTTAAAGTGTGTATCGGCTGTTGCAGTGCTGTTGTGGTGATAGTTAATATATTAACTGCATGTGATTTCTTTAGTTTTAATTAAATTTCAGTGCATTTCAGATTGATTTTTTGTGCAGCCTTTTTGGAGCTCCCAGTATTCACTGAAAGGCCAACTGCAACTTTTCTTCCAAAAAAGCTGTGTGCTTTTGCTTGAGGGCAATATGTGGCCCTCCAGGTGTCACTGCATTTCAGCTCCCCTCAATCCTAGGCCGTATGGTTAATAGTATAGGATGAGGGAAGTTGGAGTCCAACATTTGGAAGGCCACATATTGCCCAGCTCTGCCCTACAAGGTTTCACCTACTTTTAGCCGGATTTTCAGATGTTTAGAATGACTGAGCCTCTACTTCCTTTCTCACTTGGTAATGCAGTGTGCAAAATTGGACTTGATGTGCCGTTCTGAAATAGAAGTAAGCAAGCCACAGGGCCAGTTCTCCCTGCTGGTTTGCCTAGTGCATATGATTTGCCACTTTTCCCTACTTGCCTTCAATCTCTGTTTTGGTGGATATTATGGTTAAGTATAGAGTGGAAATACCATCTCTGCCAAGAAAAGAGTGTATGTGGATAAGGATATTCCTTTACTCAGAAGTTCCAGTCTGGCCAGTTTGTGGACTGGGCTTTAGGTTTGATCATTATTTCTTTAGCATGGATTCTGGTTTTTTTAATACTTAGAAAAACCTTTAATGAAACTTCATATTACCTGTCCCCATGGGGAAAAGTTCTCCTTGTTTTCGTTTTGGGAAGAGACTAATGACACAGGACATTATCAGGAAGAAACAATGCTGGAGCAGGCCTTGTGACTATAATTGAGAGTTGCCTACCTTGTTGGATTGCACTTAATCAAAAGAAGACATAATTTGTTTATCCGTTTTAAATAGTAGCTTTTGTTATCAGAGATGTAATTTGTACCAAATTGTGAGTATAAGCCCTTTCCTTAGTAACCTGTTATACCACATATGGTCTTTGTGTTAAAAAGTACAAAATATTTCCTGATGGAACAGAAGCTCCACATACCTGCTATAATATATATAAAGAGTTGCTGACATAAACCAAAGGAATTTCCCACCACTTCACATGCCCAGCAGGCCTGGAGACCTACAGGCTGGGTCTGCATATAATATGCTATTTAGAAAGGCTCTAGTTCCACATGACTGTCGTGCTGTATAATGCAGCTGTTACATTTGGGTCACTTTTGGAATGAGATGTACAATAAAATTTGTGAAGTCTTAGTGCTTTCCAAAGTGTTAGAATGTTAGAAGCACTTCCTACTATTAGATCTCAACTAGGTCACTTTTGTCATACAGTAGTCAGATGACTGTCACTTCATTGGTTCTATATTGAAGTGCTTTGTTAAAATTCCTCTGTAAATTAAAAACGTCATCAGGAAACATTACAGAATAGCCTACCTTCTTTTGCTAGTGTAAGCTTTTGAAGGGTGAAACAGAATAGCAAATCATGATTTTCATCACCTCCTGATGTTTTTATGCACTTATGACTACCTTAATCAGATTGAATTTATCAATAGCAGTAAACATCTGGATCTTGGTAGGAAGATTTGGATGAAGCCATGACAAGATGGGCTCGAGCAAGTGTCACTCATAACAAGAAGGCTCTGGATGCAACACCATGGGATGATCTGAAGAATAGGGCTGCTAGGACTGTGGAAACAAATAAAAAGCAAAGCTCTTCAGACAGATTTTCTTTAAAGAGCAACCAAGTGAAAAAGAAAAATAAGAAGAAAAAAGACTATCTGAATGAAGATGTCAATGGCTTTATGGAATACTTAAAACAGAACTCACAGATGTTGCATAATGGCCAATTGATCAACAGTCATCAGGCAAAGGAAGAAATAGCAACTGCTTTGAAAAAGGACAAGCGGCGAGAACAGAGAAGAGTGAAGCGGCAGGAAATTAAGAAGAACGTGATGGTAAGATATTATTCTCTTGTTTTTCTTTCTTTCATTGTTTAATGCTTTCTTTTCTTATAGCTCAAATAAGGACCACAGTCATATGAATTCGAGGGACACTGAATAGAAATAAAGGATTTTCTGTTTTTTTTCAGTTGGACTTTTTTCAGGAAGATATTATGTGCTGTTTCTCAAAAATAACCTGGTCTGAATAATATTATTAACTTGGCAGTTAATCTCAAAACTGATTTTACATTTTCTACCAGATAGGCTGTGTTGAAGAAGGGTTTTCTTTGTAAAAGAATAAAATAACAAATTCGGTCCAGTTTCAAGCATGAACAATTGCATTACACTCTACCTAACAAATATTTTATTTTCTGATTGATAAAAATAAATTGCCGTAGTCTGACAGTAACTTTGCTTCGGCTTATCAATCAATCTCATTTTTATTTGTCATTTTATCTTTGTGAGGATAGGTCAGGGCCAGAGCAGAGTGAAAGAAGATGGAGCAGCACTGGAAAGAAACAAATTTGTTCAGTATTGATTATTGATTACGTGTCATCTAGTCAGTGTTGACTCTTAGTGACCACACATAGATTTTCTCCATGATGATCTGTCCCTAACCTTGACCCATCACCACTGTAACTGAGTCCAGACCTTGTTGCTGGTCATCCTCTTCTTTTCTTTCCTTCCATCTTTCCCAGCATTAGAGTCTTCTTCAGAGAGCTGGGTCTTTGCATAATGTGTCCAAAGTAGGATAATTTGAGCCTGGTCATTTGTGCCTCAAGTGAGAACTCTGGGTTGACTTCTTCAATGATCCATCAGTTTGTTTTCTTGGCTCTTCATTGTTTAACATGCAGCTTCTATATTCTATAAGAACCACACAGTGGCGGTTGCTGGTCATAAGGAAGTTCCTATACAGGAATGCTTTAAGCTAGAGGTACACCAGCTGTGTGTCAGTGCATGCAGCTTGTTAAAATGTTGGATGCAGCCTCTAAGCACCTCCAGAAACTATTACCAGATTGTAATTTTGAATAGGAGAGAAGGGCAAAATGTTTAAATGACCGGAAAGTAATCACATTAATATATTTAATTTTAATGAAATTTAAATAATATGAAATCAGTATTATTTTTTGTTCTGGCCTACTCCTTACTGTATGAAATGTAGCCCCAATGTGTCACAGAAAGGTAGGGTTACTTTTCTGAAACTGTAAGCATCCTAATCAAATATTTGTGATTCTAGGATATTTTTCTTGCAAAAGTTAGCTGAATAAAAACAGTTGTTAATTATAAGGTCATGTGAGAGGAATGGCTTTTCACTTCAGGAAATCTTAACTTCAGAGTAAGGGCTAAACTACACATTTAAATATAATTTTTTTAATAAAATGCAAATGCTGTTAGTGTGGAAGTGAATGGTAATGGGACTCAGACAGTGCTATAAAGAGTCTTCTGCGTAAAATCCTTTCTCTGAAGCATTTCTGTTGGGAGGATATCTGATGATATGTGTGTGTGGCTTCTACTTGTAATACTCTATGGTAAGATTAGGTTGAAAAGTGGTTAGTGTAAAAAGAGATTGCGTCCAGTCCATACTGCATTAACTTGGTAATTCACCTTGTATTGTCAAAGGTGTGCTTCCACTGTCGAAAGCCAGGTCACGGGGTTGCAGATTGCCCAGCTGTTCTTGAAAGCCAAGACATGGGAACTGGAATTTGTTACCGATGTGGCTCTACCGAACATGAAATCAACAAATGCAAAGCGAAAATAGATCCAGCTCTTGGTATGTGTAGTAACTACGGTTCTCAGCATGATGGGCTTGGTAAATGTTTGTCACCAATTATCAGGGTAATATTGTTTTAAATATTCCAGGTTATGATTATGATGATTTACAAGAACTTAATGTATTTCCTTCATAACATGAACTATGTGAATTTGTTTCAGGGGAATTTCCATATGCAAAATGTTTTATTTGTGGGGAAATGGGCCATCTCTCAAGGTCATGTCCTGATAATCCTAAAGGACTTTATGCTGAAGGTAAGGCCACATTTTTTTCTTTGAAATCCCATTAATTTTTTTTTAAAATGAAGGTGGTTAATTGATATACTTTAGAATATTTTCCCTATCTTGACAGCTTGAGTGAATGCAATTGCCTTATAAAGGAATACATTGTATAAATCTCTCCTCTTTTGACAAATTCTCCCAAAATGTTTTCCATTAACCATCTTAGCATATTTGTTATAAAACTTTTGCCATAGAGAGTTTTCCAAATATTTATTTGGGGAAATTGTAAAAAATATAGTGGAACCTCGGTTTACAAACTTAATTCGTTCCATGACTCTGGTCGG